CCCGCCTCGGCCGCAGCCCCCGCGGGGGACCCGCTCCCGCCGACGGCGCTCCCCGGGGTTCGCCGGGCCTGCGGCCGCCTCCCGCACCCCCGCCCCCACCAACCCAGGAACACAACTTTTTGCGAAAAGAAAACAAACTTCCGCGACGTGACTCACCTCTGGTGCGGCAGCTTCTGGGGAGGGCGAGCGGCGTCCGGGGCCGGCGTGGCGGGCGCGGTGGGAGCCGCACAGCACCGCGCCGAAAGGACACACAACCCGCACGGTGACACCAGGGGACTCGCAAAACCGGAGAGCGGCCGCCGCGGGAGCAACAAAGGAGCCCCGGCCCGAGAAGTTGCCGGCCGGGGAGGGAGGGCGCGTGCGGGCGCGTGTGGCTGTGGCGGGCGTGAGTGAGTGTGTGTGTGTGTGTGTGTGTGTGTGTGTGTGTGTGTGTGCAAGGGTGAGTGTGCGTGCGCGCGCCCGGAGGCTGACACTGGCGGGCCGGGGCTCAGGGTCCCTGCGGCAGGAAGCGGGGGTCGCGGCGGCGGCGGCAGCAGCAGGAGGACGAGGCAGGGGACGCCGCGCCCGGCGCACCCGGTCCCTCCATATGGAAGAAGCTTTTTTGGATGACTGAACTCGCAAACAATTCCTTCTTTTGCTTCTCCTGCCTAGGAGCCTCCCATTGCCGCGCGAGGCGGGGAAGGAGGGGGAGCAGAGGAGGCGGGGAGGAGGGGGAGGAGCAAAATGGAGCAGAGAAAACCTCTTGGAAAGGAAAGGAAGCTGGAAAAAAAAAGTCCCCCAAACTCAGTTTTTCTCCTAACGCCCATTTTCTTTCTGTTGAGCTCCAGCCCGGAGCTCTTCCCCAACGTCTCTCTTTCCCATTCCAAGAGCAATGTCCTGTGCCTTCCGCCCGCCCCCCCCCCCCCCCGGACCCTCATTTTCTCTTTAGCTTCACCTCAGACCCTTGCTCTCATATGCTATCTTTCTCTTCTCTCCCCCAGGCATTTCTCTCCAAGACTTTTTCTGACACCCCTCTCTCAATAGTCTTCATTCTGCAAACTATTGGATAAGTCAGTAAAAGCAAACATTCTGCAAACTGTTGGATAAATCATTAAAAGCAAACTTTGTTATTAAACGCCCCGCCCCCACCCCCCAAGTGGGGCAGTGGTTGTCAAGAAATGATGAAGAAACCAGTTTTGGGGGAAGCCCCAACGCCACCTACGCCGACCCACGACCCACCGGGTGGGGTTGGGAGGGAGGGATTGCAGCGTCCTGCGCTGACAGCGCCCTGCCCTGACCTCCATTCATCATCCCGGGATGATGAGGCAGGGAAAGGATTCCGGGGAGGCGGGGGTGGGGGGGCGGGGTGGGGAAGGGAGGCATAGTGGCGGTAGAGAAAACTTGGTTACCTCTGTGTGTGTGTGCAGGAGGGTGTTAAACCCTCGCTTTAGTGCTGGGCAGAAAACAATTCAGAGTAGCGGTTCTCAAACTTGAGCTGCATCAGAGCCTCCTGGAGGCTTCTTAAAACAGACTGCTGGGCCCCGCCCCCAGGTTTCTGATTCCGTAGGGTCTGGGGTGGGCCTGAGAACTGGCATTTCTAGTAAGTTCCCAGGTGATACTGCTGCTGCTGCTGCTCTGGGGCCACATTTTAAAGACACCGTTCTAGGGAATGGGCAGGTCAAACATAGGCTGACTCGCTGGCAAGCAGCTGAGGGATGCAAACCGAGATGGTGTAGGGCCATTCGCGGCCATTCGTTATGCTGCAGCTGAAGAAACCAAGATCCAGAAAGGCTGAGGCATTTGTTCAAAGTGAACCTCAGGTCTGTGCCAACGTGGGAAGGGAGCTGCCTCGGAGGTGGTCGCGCAGGCCAGCAGTGGGAGTTTGAGGGTGCTGCTGCCCCTTTGGCAGGAGAGCTGCCCTGGGAGTCAGGAAGTCACGTGCGACTTTGATAAAGTCCCATGTCCTTAAACCTCTCTGGGCCTCAGTAAAAATACATACTTTATGGGGCGCCTGGGTGGCTCAGTCGGTTGAGCGGCCTACTTCGGCTCAGGTCATGATCTCGCGGTCCGTGAGTTCGAGCCTCGCGTCGGGCTCTGTGCTGATGGCTCAGAGCCTGGAGCCTGCTTCGGACTCTGTGTCTCCCTCTCTCTCTGCCCCTCCCCTACTCATGCTCTGTCTGTCTGTCTGCCTCTCTCTCTCTCAAAAATAAATAAATGTTAAAAAAATTTTTTTTTAAAAATAAAAAAAAATACATACTTTACACTGAGTTTATGACTTTAATAGAATCGAATCAAAAGGTGTTTAAAAGGGCAACATAAACATTTTATTCACTATGCTTTACTGCTTCTCCCCC